AAGTGGATTATCTTCAGCATAGACTATGGTCAGTACTTTGGTTTTCAACCTTTATATGTCTGAAGGCCAACACCAGACTGCACATGGGTAGTTAAAAAACCACTGGTCTATAAGCTACCCTTTTCTCTTTAGGGTTTACCACATACATCACTGACTTTTATATATATTCCATGTACGCCTGAATAAAAATATATTCTGAGTTTTGCATCTCTGTGTGTCTATCCTGTGTTGGTTCGAGATCCTTCATATCCTTGCTGTTCCCGCCCCTTCTGACCTACCTACAAGTGATAGGGGTTGATTAAAATCTCCCAGTCACCAATAGCAGCAATGGATTTATCGGGCTCTCTCTTTACTATGAAGGAATGCTTTTTACACCTTTGAGGCTGTTTCATGACATGCATAACACTTGAAAACATTATACCTCCTTGAAGAATTTTCTCATTAGGCAGCAATCCTTTTATCTCTAATAATGCTTTGCTCTTATGCTCGTTTTACCTACTACTGACAGAGCTATCACTTCTAGGGCAGTCTGTTCATGTCTGCTATTCTCAATGTTGGCACATCTCTCTGTTTTGGTTATCTCTTGGAAAGTATATCTGTCTGGATGTAAGAAAAATCTTTCAGGGCTTTTCCTTTTTCCCCTCTGAAGATGCCTGTGTCTCTCTTAAACGCATATTCTCTTTCTCTTCCCTTAAATCGCTCTCTAAATTTCTTTCAATAAAATCTATTTTGCTTCAGAAAAAAAGGACAGGGAAGGAGGAGAAGTTTCCCAGGGGAAATGCACAAAGGACTGCTGTGCGTGTCTTACATGCTGGAGGCACTGAGTTCGATCCCAACATCCGTGGGTTTGGGCTTGTTGATGCAGGGTCAAAGCACCTAACCATCAGGTTGCACTTCTGGGGAGCAAGCCCCTCAATCCAATCACTTAGTATTTTGCTTTTAATTTATGAGTTGATTCTGCTTATATTTATATTTAGACCTGTTTTTTGGTTTTGGGGCCACACCCAGAGTTGCTTTTGGCTTACTCTTGCTCTGCACTCAGGAATCACTCCCGGCCGGGCTCAGGGAACCATTTGGGGTGGTGGGGATTGATCACTATCCATCTCTCTCCCCCAAGGGCCCCAACACCACTCGCTTTCCATGTCCCCCCCACCAACTCATTTTTGTGGATCAGTTCTCCCATTATATTGCCTTTGGACTTTTGCTGCTACCTTGCTGTGTATTTTTATTTAATTGATTTTTTTGGCAGGAGGGCTACACCTGGTGATGCTCAGGGCTTACTGAGCACCTGGCTCTGCACTCAGGAATTATTCCTGATGGTTCTCAGGGGACCATATAGGATGCTGGAAATTGAACCTGGATTGGAGCATGCAAGCTCCCTGCTGGACTATCACTCTGGCCTTTAAGTTAATTTTTAAACTGAATTACCGTAAGATTTGCTCCGTATCTTTAAGTCCCGCTTATTGGAGATCATTCTGCATCTGTCCTTCTGACTCCACCCAGCTTCATCCTTTAGTTCCATCTGTTTGCTGCAAACTACATGATTTTGCTGTCTCTTGGAGCCGCATAATATTCCATTGTGTATATATAATCAATCACAAACCAATCACAAGTCTGTCTTTGTTCTGGGGGCCGAACTTGGCAATTCTCAGGGATTTCTCCTTGCTGTCACTCTTGATGGGCTTGGAGGACCATATGGGATGCCGGGAATTGAGACAGGGTTGGCTGCGTGCAAGGCACATGAGCTGTCCTCTATCTATGTCTCTGGCCACACAAACTCAAATTCTTATTTCGTTTTTTTATTTATTCTGGGAAATTCATCTCCATTCTTATATTTTAGTTTTCATATTTTTGTCTTGGAGCCACACTGGGAAATGCTCGGGGCCACTCCTGACTCAGTGCCAGGGTTTTGGTTTTGGTTTTATTCTAGGTTTGGGGGCCACACCCAGCGATGCTCCTGGCTTTGCACTCAGGAATCACTCCTGTTGTTCACGAAACCGTGTGGGATGCAAGACAAGCACCTTACCTGCTGTACTGTTGCTCTGACACCAGCATCAGGGTTTTGAAGCCAAGCCTCCTATGAGCTCTGAGCCTGCACTCAGCCCACTGAGCCGTGTCAGCTCTCCTCTTCATTTTCGCTTTCTCCCCTTTCCTTCTGGGAGTCCACTGACATGTACTGAGTGCTTCCTCTGAATCTGAGATGCACCCTTCACACATGTACATGTGACCATGTGTGGTGCCCCTCTTCTGAGGGGGCCTGAGAGCAGGCTCCCTCCGTGACCTGTGTGATAGGGTCCACTATTCATCTTTTTTATTTGTTTTTGAATCACACCCAGCAGTACTCGGGACTTACCACTGGGTCTGTGCTCAGGGATCCCATTCGTATGGGATGCCAGGGTCACATTCATGGGTGCTGAGCACAGCTCTGATGCTCAGGGGTGACCACTGGTGATGCAAGGGGATGTGGTGCTGCAGGTTTGAACAGGGCTCAGCAGGACACAAGGCAAGCCGTAAGCCCTGTAACTCTCTCTCCAGCCTTGTTTTACACTTGAATTCCCCCAAAGACATTATTCACATACGTTCTGTTCTTCATTCATTCCAGCACCTCATTTTGTCCATCTGGAATCAGTTTCCTCCTGCCACAGGCCTATCTGTCAGTGCACATCTGCTGGCAGCAAAGCAGAAATTTTCTTTGAAAATATCTATTTCAGAAGGGCCGGGGCGAGAGGACAGTGGGCAGGGCATTTGCTTTGCATGTGGCCAACCTGAGCTCCATCCCCGGCACCTCATGTGGTGCCCCCCGCCTGCCAGGAGTGATCTCTGAGTGCGGAGCCAGGAGCAAGAGAGGGCCTGCCTTTTCTCTGTAATCTATTGCCTTTTCCAAGCCTTGTTTTTAGTTGAAATTTTTTGGTTTTTGTTTTTTTCTTGGGCCAGGCCGGGAGGGTTGGGTTTGGGTTATACCTGGCAGTGCACATGGGACCTTGTGTGTTGCCAGGGGTTGAACCAGGTTCAACCGTGTGCAAGGCAAGTGACTTGACCCCTGTATTTAGCTGTAGTTTTTCTTTTCTTTTTTCTTTCTTTCTTTTTTTTTTTTTGGCCCACACCCTGTGGTGCTCAGGGCTTAATCCTGGCTCTGTGCAAAGGAATCACTCCTGGCAGGGCCCAGGGGGCCATCTGGGGTGTTAGGGATCAAAGCCAGGACAGCCACATGCAAGGCAAGTGCCCTACCTGCTGTACTACTGCTCCAGCCTTAGTTACAGTTTTTGATCTTTTCAGCTGACCTATAGTCAGTTGATGATTTTCCTCTCTTAACCCTCTCATTAAGTTCTCAGTCTTCTTGTCCTTCACGCCCTACCAAGGTCACGAGTTGCCCCCCCCCCCCCCCCCCACGAGCGGCTCTCTAACACGGCCATGGCTCTAGAGCCACAGAAACCAATCTTATAATTATCTGACTCTCAGCAGAAATACTTCCAGGCTTAATAATTAAAATATCAGAAATCCAAAATCGCGTGGCTGCTATTGCGGCCGTGTGACATCACTTGGTTCTTGTAACCAGCTGTAGAAAACAAATTATTTCACAATGCCTTTTCAGCAGGTCTGATTTTGGGGTATAAACTCTAAATAATAATGGTGCATCTTTTGTCGAAACAATGAATCTAATCAAAGTAGATAGAGTGTTAACTAGAATTCATCTGCCTCACAGGCATTGGGAGGGTTGGGAGGGGGGGTATATTGGGGTTCTTGGTGGTGAAAAATAAGTACTGGTGAAGGGAAATGTGTTTGATGATTGCATGACCGAGACTTAAACCTGAAAGCTTTGTAACTTTTCTCACAGTGATTCAATAAATAAATTAATTTTTAAAAAAAAGAGATGCAAGAACATTCATAAAGGTTATATAACAAACTCAGGACTACAAATTAAAGAATAATAAGTACTTATTCGAGCTAAAATCAAATGGATAATTAAAAGACTAAGTATAAGGGAATTCAAACTTAAAACTCCTAACTAAGGAGGGTAGGAAGGCAGGATGCATTTGGTGGGGGATTTGGGGCACACTGTGATGAGATAAGTAACTGTACATCAAACCATAGTTGTCAATATTACTGTTACTGTTGTGAGACTTGTTGTTACTGTGTTTGGCATATCGAATACATCATGGGGAGCTTGCCAGGCTTTGCCGTGCGGGCGAGATACTTTCGGTAGGTCTTGGTAGCTTGCCAGGCTCTCCGAGAGGGGCAGAGGAATCGAACCCAGCTTATCTTGGTTGGCTGTGCACAAGGCAAATGCCCTACCGCTGTGCTATCGCTCCAGCCCCAATATTTTGTAAATATATTAACTCTAATATTTTAAATCCTGCTTAAAATATCAAATAACTGTATATTGTGAAAAATACTTATATGCATAAGAGATCACTAAAGCTTTTAGAAAGGAATTTTGGGAATAACAAATAAAAATCAAATATCTAAAAAAAAAAGTTCTCAGTCTCAGCTGTTCTTCCTTTGCAGAACTTCCGTTTTGCGTGGCTGGGATATAGTCTGGAGTCCTGGTGTCTCACAGACCCCCGTGCACTGCCAGGAGGGGCCCTGGAGCCCTGCAGCAGCCCTCAGCCACCCGCCACCTCCTTAGACCCTTGTACTGACCCACTTATCCGGTTGGACATGAGTCACCAGTGAAGCCCCTCGAACTCCCGAGGCCTCCCCTTCCCCCAAAATAATTTCTGGTGTGCTCTCTCTGGAATCTAGTACCACATTCACAGTCTTCTCTTTCCTGCAGTTCTTTGCAGGTCCGTTTTCCTTCCCTGGGCTGTGGACACTGTCCTGTCGGCCTGTTTAACATCCCCGCAGATGCCCTGCCACCGCCACTGAGGAGCGCAGTCTCGTACGAGGGGGCACTCGGGCTCCCTGCGGGCTGGCACAGACCACCCTGCCCCCCTCCCGGGCTGCTGCTCCCTCCCTGCCCGCCCCAGGCCCACGTGCCTCTGCCTCGCCCCTCCACTCACGGCAGCGGGTATTTCTTCCACAGCAGCTTGGCGGGCAGCGTCTGGTACACCGTCTTCTGCCTCCCCTCCACGGTGGTGCTGCTGGCGCTGCTCTGCACGATCTTGGCGCACTCCATCTGCTCATCCCACGAGCCGGACAGCACGTAGTGGGCCTTGCCGTGGCCGTCGCTCACCACACCTGACACCTGTGGGCACAGGCGGGGCCAGCATGGGCGTGGGCCCTGCTCGAGGCCCACCGAGGCTCCACGTGGCTCCGCTTACCTTCCGGGCAACCTCTTTGGAGAAGTAGCTGTAGGGCAGGAACTTGAGCTGGCATCGGTCCTTGGTCTTATGGTTCACAATCTCCACATCCCCTGTCTGGTGGGGCGAGGCGGGTGGTCAGCGCTGAGCCTTGGGTCCTTACCCGTGCCCCCTCCCCAGAGACACCCCCTGACCTGGTCAATCCAGAGCTTGCCCACGATGATGTTATGCACGGTCGAGGTGCTCTTCCTCCACACATAGTGATTCCCGCTGGCCTTGAATTCTAAGTGGATGGCACCTGGCGGTGAGGGACGGGTCCCAGGTCAGGGCTGCCCACACGGGCCCCCATCAGCTGCCCCCCTCGCCAAGGGGGAAGGAGGGAAGGGAGACTGATGTCACTCCAGGATCCCCCACCAGCACCTGGACCTCCTCCCTGGGCCCCCGCTCGCTCACCCAGAGGCATGATGGAGAGGTATTTCCCCCGGAACTTGCTGGCGATGGTGATCTCCTGCCAGAGGGACCAGCCGTGCCTCGAGAACACGTAGTGCGCGGCCGAGGGCGGGTGGTGGCTCACCTGCGACCAGACCGCAGGACCTGAGTGTCTGCTGGACACGGCTCAAGGTAAGCCCCCACACACAGAGGGAGGGGCAGCAGTGTTTGTAAGGTGAGGGGAGAGCACCTCCGTGCCAGGATATGTGGTGACAGGAAGTGCCATGACAGGGGGACCGAGGGCTGGCAGAGTGAGGGATGGCTTCCCAGGGTGGGCTGGGCTCCTGCCAGTCTGGGATGCCTCAAATGCAGGCCCGTGCGAGTGCCCTGCCCAGGCCGATGGCGCTATGGCTGGCTCTGCTCACCCCACATGGGGGCGGTGCTCCCACCCCTCCTGCTCCCAGCACTGGGCACCCCGCTTTCTCGCTGTTTCACCCACGGGGACCCACATGGCCCCCTGTCAGCTTTCTCTGGTTTGTTCCTCCAATGCATGACACCGCTGGGCTCAGGTTCTAGGGTGCAGGCTCTCCCCAGGGCACCCCAGCAGCCTCTGCCCCCAGCTGGCCCCTGGCTCCACAGCATCTCAAATGGCAGCCAAGGTCAGGCTCAGGGCCCTTGCCACACCCACCCCATCTCCTGGGGTTGCCAGCCTGGGGCACCCCACCGCTTCCTCCAGCCCAGAAACAGCCAGCTCTTCCCAAGTGAGGATACCCCACCCTGCCTACAGCCAGGAGACCAGTTATAACTCCTGTACCATATAATGAAACTGAGTTTCCTTGGGAGAAGGTTAAAAAACATCTTTTAACACATAAAAATATTACAGCTAAGATTCTGAACTTGCAAAGAAAAATACACGGTATCTTTAAAGACCATCTTCCTAGCACGGGGTCTTCTGAAATATGGCAAGGAATTTCTGATGGCCTAAGCTCCCTCAACTCTGTAACTAGTATCAAGGGATTGATGGGGGATCTATAGGAATTGGTGCTCTGCTACTTGTACTGACCATTATGTGTTTGGTACTTTATTGGAAGTAAGAAACTAGAAGCCAGGGTAAACAGGCGGCCCAATTTGCTATGATGACTAAAATTTGCCCTAAAAAAGAGGGGGAGATGTTGGTGCTCAGCCAGGAGATTAGGACGAGGCTCTGGACGCTGTCCCGCAAGCGGGAAGCAGAACCGAGGCCCCACTTCTCACTAAGTGGGCAAGCTAAAAACTCGTGAACTGGATGGCCTGGAGGCGTCCGGCGTGCTCTCATACACCCGCCTAGTCGTACCCTATCCTGGCAGTACACGGCAGCAGTTTCCCCCTCTCTCACGCATCCTTAGCCTGGACTGACCTTCAAGTGTCAGTCTGAGCCTTCTCTCTGCCCCACGTGTGACCCACCACAAGAAGGTGGGGGACGTAATCTGTAGAGCCTCCGTGTCCGGTGCCATATCTTCCTCTGACTTTTTAATCAGAACAGCACAGCTTTGACAGCATAGCTTTGGCAAGACAATGTATACCCTGACGTTCCTTTGACGAATGCTCATCCTATAACTGTCAGTCTCTCGCTAGTGAGTCTTTCTCTGTGATAAAGTCATTAGGATGTAACTGATAAAAAACAAGAATAAAAGGAGGCCCCTGGCAGTCCCTCTTCGCCTTGAGCCGGAACGAGCCTTGGCCCTCCGTGCTCGCACATTCCTCTCGCGTGTTCTATCTCCATGCCTCCGACCGATTGATCGATCACTTCATGCATTATCTTCCCCATAAGCTTCCTGAATTCTTAGCACTTCCTGGCTATTCTACCTTTGAAGCATGTCCAGCACCTGCCCGGTCTCCCCAGGGAAGGGGTGCAGTCATTCATGTCCTGCCTCCCACTGGAGCTGTCACTGGGACCCCAAAAAGCAGACACAGGGGGAGGGGTCACATATCTCCTCTTCCAGCCCACCCAGAGCCCCCGACTGGTATCTGGCACACCTCCTCCCCCTTGCTCCACACTGCCCATGGGGCTCCGCACATCTTTGTACCCCTGACAGGACCCCGCCAGACAGCCCCTTGGGGTCTGAGGCCACAGGTCTCTCTGTCTTGCTCCAGAGCCCCCACCCGGCGGGAGACTGGGGGGCTCACCTGCTCGCACAGGGAGCGCAGGCCCATGTCCTCCAGCCGGTCCAGCTCGTAGGTCTCTCCGAGCATGGGGTTGAAGGGCTTGGCGATGCGGTGCACAGTGGTGGAGTAGGAGGACACGGAGAAGGCGGCCACCAGGCACATCTGCTCCATGGAGCTGGTGCAGTGCACTGCCTTGTCCAGCAGGTCGTGGTACTCCAGGTCCTCGGTCAGCCGCTGGAGCATGGACAGGGGCTCGTTAAAGTTCACCTGCGGTGGGGCCAGAAAAATGGTACCATGTGTAAGGCGTCTGCCTTGCACACGGCCCGTCCAGGTTCAATCCCTGGCACCTCATATGGTCCCCCAAGGACCGCCAGGAGTGATTCCTGAGTGCAGAGCCAGGAGGAGGAACCCTGGAGCATCGCTGGGTGTGGCCCCCAAACTAAACAAAAAAGATGACCCGCGGGGTGGGCAGGAAGTCTGGCCAGGGTCTCGGCGGATAGACAAGCACACACACATGCACACACACACGCACACATGCGCACGTACACACACACATGCCACACATATATGCACACACACGCTGGATCCAGACAAACCAGAGCTGGGGGGCTGCCCGGAGAGTCCACCACAATGAGATTCCTGACTTGGCCTGGGAACCTGGTTCCCGCGGCTGGAGCACAGATTTTGCCTGCAGGAGCCCCAGGTCAGTCCCAGCCCCTCTTGGTCCCCTGTACACCACCAGGAATGAACCGAGAGGAAGGAATGAATAAGATCTAGCTTGTTGCCTGTGTCTGCCACAGCCTTCAGCCCCACCAGTCGCCCATCCGAGGAGGGAAAGGTCATCCAGGCCAGGATGAGGGCTCACTCGGCACGCGAGCTTAGGAACGAGGGAAGAGTGGACGAGTGAGTGATGAGGTGGCTTCTTCTATTAGAAAAGGTTTCTGGGACGGGGTCCCGTGGTGGCCAGCAGGGCAGACCGCTGACCCCGTGATGCTGGGGGCTGCCCTGGGCCCACTGCCAGCCAGAGACTGCAGGAACTGCCAGCTCTTCTCTCCACTGGACACAAGTGGTCATGGGCCATTGAACTGGCCTGGGCCCCCAACCCCATCTCTTCCTTTATGGAGGAAGGGAAAGGCCGGCAGCCCACTGAGAGATCCTACAGCAGGGGCTTGGAGCCCCACACAGCTGAGGTATCCTGAGTGCCCATCAGGCCAGAGGTGCTGCGGGGGGGGGGTCCCCTGAGTTTCTGATGTGTGCAGGGCCTGAGAGGTGTGCTCTGGGAGAGGGCACTTTTTGTCAGTGAACACCTTGTTCTTTTAGGAAAACACACCCTGTCTTCTGCTTCCTACGGGCTACTATGTGTCCCCGAGCTACTGCATGTCCCCTGGGCACGTCCCAGGCGCCCGGAAGGAGCGGCGGACCCGCCACACACCTACCGGCATAGGGATCTTGGAGAGCTCCCGGCCAATGCAGTTCTTCATGATGCTCCAGAGGTTGAGGCTGTAGTTGGGTTTGTCGGGGATGCTGACGCGTCTCTTGACTTTGGGACGGGGCTTGGGCACAAGTGAGGCACCATCCAGCACCTGCCAGGGAAGCAGGGTGCGCCTGTCAGCAGAGACCAGAGTGTTCCCTTGGCCCTCCAGGCCGGCCCCTCACCCCTGACCCAGTACCACCCAAGGGCCCCGCCCGCCCGGGGAGCACCCTGCTGGGAGGGCAGGTGGGCCTGGCACGAGCTTAAGAAGCGTCAAGGCCGAGGAGCAGCCAGGGCCTGAACCCCCCTCCTCGCCCCCCCGGGGCCCCGCCCCACTTACATTGTCTGATGAGCTCCAGTCATCTGGGTCGGTCTCCGTCTCACCCTCAGTTTTTCTGCAGGAAACAGGAAGCAGGTTGGAAACGAGGCTGCTTCCGGAGCCGCCCACCTTCTCACACCCGCCCTCACCTGGAGCTTGTGGAGGGATCCCGAATTTGGGGCAGCCCAGGTGGGCTGGGGGACCTGCACCATCGACTTGGAGTGACCCTCATATCACTTCTCGGGGTCCCTGCTGACTAAGCCCCCTTTCTGGGAACCGGCTGGCCTGGGAACCTACATGGGGCCAGGAGGTGGACACAAGGAGCCACCTGTCAGGGCTTCCTCGGGACGACTAGTCTGACCACTCTGCCCCAGGGTTCCGGCACTCCCTGGCGCCCTAGGATTCTTGCGGTGCCCATGAGTGGACAGCAGAGGGCGCCGTGGTTGAGGGAACAGAACCCAGTGACCCACGCTGAGGGATAACCTAGGCCAGCGAGGGTGGGGGCACTTGGCAGTCAGGAGGCAGGGCACGTGACCCAGGTGACTGCAGTGCAAGGTTGGGATGGAGAGAACCCAGTGTGAGAGGACCCGCTGCCCGTCAGATGGGGACAGAGGGGCCGGCACTGCCACCCAGGCGACAGTGGGGCCATGTGACACAAGAAGAGGGCTCAGCCTGGCCCAGGGGGGGGGGGGGAGGTTGGAGAGGGGAGTGGGGCAGGGGGGATGGGCGGGGAGGGCCATGCCATTGAGTGAAAAAGCGGAAGGAAATTCGAAACAGCTTCCCCATGCTACTTCTGTGCTACTTCTGTTACTGGGAGGTGGAAAATGGAAAAAAGATCTTGAATGGGGGCTCTAGTATTGGTAACGGGATCCAGCGTCCCCAGAAACGTGGCCACAGGCTCTCCTGGCCTCGACTCCCTGGACCATGCATCTGCAGAGGGCAGTGGAGTCAGGCCACTGGGAGCTTGCAGCCCTAGCAGGTGGAGTATCCCGTCTGGGGGCCACGCTGGGGACAGACACCTCACAGTTGACTGCGGCAGTGGGTGGCAGCAGTCAAGGTCAGTATGTCACTGTCCCCAGAGCACAGTGCCTGCCCAGCATACTGCAGGGCTCCAGACCCCGCGGAGCCTGGCCGACCCCTCTCTGGCCCTGCCGCTGTGAAGGACCTAGGTGAGGCTTGGCAAGCAAACCCGGCATGCAACCCATGGCCGGGCCCACACTTCCAGATCACCCCCAAGTCAGTCCCCCAGCTCACAAATACTCCGGCTGCTTTGCGGTGGGCACAGAGACCTCCCCCAGGAATAGGCTATTAGGAGAAATGAAGCAAATAATGGAAGCAGAACGTGAGGGCATTCCTCAGCTCCTGAGTGTTCTGGAACACGGACGCGGTGGTGGCAAGGCGCTCCGGAGGTTACAGTGAGCTGCTACAACTGTCCAGGCCCAGCTGGGTCCCAGCGCCCCCTGCACCAGAGTCAAATACCCCATTTTCCAGATTTGTTAGAATGGGAATTCCATACAGATTCTTTCTTTCTTTCTTTTTCTTTCTTTCTTTCCTTTCTTTTTTTGTTTTGTTTTTGTTTTTGGAACCACACCCAGCAATGCTCAGGTTATTCCTGACTCTGCTCTCAGAATTACTCCTGGAAGGGCTTGGGGGACCAGGGATGGAGCCCAGGTTGGCTGCATGAGAGGCAAGCACTCTACCCCCTGTACTCTCGCTCTGCACCTCCACTTTTTTGGGGGAAGAGCAAAACCAATCCAAGCAAAAACCTGAAGCAAGAGTTCCTAGAAGGAGGGGGCTGGAGCAACAGCACAGCAGGTAGGGCGTTTGCCTTGTAAGCAGCCAACCTGGGTTCGATTCTCAGCATCCCATATGGTCCCCTGAGCATCTCCAGGGGTAATTCCTGAGTGAAGAGCCAGGAGTAACCCCTGAGCATCACCGGGTGTGACCCAAAAAGCAAAAAAAAAAAAAAGTTCAAAGAAGGAAGCACCCGGGGTAAAGAGGAGGATGGGGAGCATGGGGGGGGCGGTGATGGTGGTGGGGCCCACCTGTCCTCCTTGGCCTCGGTGATCACGGTGATGAAGGATGTGGCGTCTTCCATGGCGTCGAAGTACTCGGTATCTTCATCTTCCTCACTGTCCTCTCCTTTGGAAGTTAAGAGACTTCCTGGAGACACAAGCAGAGTTGCTGCCCCAGTTTACAACCGCAAACCTGGCTCATCTCTCTCACCTGACCAAGGGCCCCTCCTCGCCTCTGCCCTGTCCCCTGGGGTCCAGCCCCACTCACCCAGCCAGCCCGGTTGCGGCTGCCCCAACTAGCCTGTGTGCTTCTCTCTCACTGCCTGGGCTCAGAGCCTCTCTCCTTCCAGAAGCCTCCCCACCTGCCTGTGACCCTTTCTCACGATCCGCCTTCCCCGGGTGCCCATGACCTCAAAGGAGAGTGGATGGTCACCCCAGGCAGACTTGCCAGAGATAGGACAGCCAGAACCACCCAACATTTTTGTTTCGGGGACACACCTGGGGGTGCTTGGGAGATCAAGATGCCGGGGATCGAACCCCAGTTGGACACGTGCAAGATAAGTGCCCCCCACTGAACTATCTCTCCGGCCCAATGTTGCACCCAGCTCTTTTTTTTTTCTTTTGGCTTTTGCACCACACTCAGCAGTGCTCAGGGGTTACTCCCACCGTCTTTTTGTTCGTTGGTTATTTGAAAAGTTGCACCCGGTGGTGCTCAGGAGTCTCTCCTAGTTCTGCACTCAGAATTCACTCCTTGTGGTGCTCAGGGGACCATGTGAGATGCTGGGGATCGAACCCAGGTTGGCCATGTGCAAGGCCCCTACCTGCTGAAACATCTCTCCAGCCCTAGGATTTGCTTTTTTTTTTTTTGCTTTTTTGGTCATACCTGGCGATGCACAGGGGCTAATCCTGGCTCTGCACTCAGGAATTACTCCTGGCAGTGCTCGGGGGACCATATGGGATGCTGGGAATCGAACCCGGGTCGACCGCGTGCAAGACCTCACGCTGTGCTATTGCTCCAGCCCCTCACCCAAGTTTTAACCCAGCTACGGGGAGGCAGGCGCTGCCTGGTGGGGAGGGGGGGGAGGCAGGGGCATGTGACGCCCACGGGCCAGGAGAAGCAGCTGAGGGAAGCCCAGATTGGGGCTGCCAGTGGGGGTGGTGTTGGGGGCGGGCGCAGCCCACTCACCCTTGCTGAAGCTCTGGCCGGGGCTGGCGGCCAGGCCAGGGGCGCTGCGGAAGGCGCGCTCTAGGCTGTTGTGCTGCTTGGCCAGCTGCTCGATGGTCTCCTCCAGGTGCACCCGCTGCTCCTGCTCATACTGCAGCGCGCGCTGCCATCTCCGGCTATGAGACTCTGCCAGCTCCAGGAAGTCCCTGCAGGCCTGGGGGACGTGTCCCGTGAGCCCAAGGACACCCCCGCTCCACCCCCAGGGCCGGGGTGCTGACTCCCCGCCACCTCCCTCCACTGGCCTTCCTCGTCGGGGTGGGCACTCAGAGGCCCGGGTCACTCCCAGTGACATCTGGTCTCGTAGCCAGTGATGCTCGGGGGTCACCAGGGTGACAGCGGGCGATACTCCGGGACCTGAGGTGTCAGGGGTGGCACTTGGGGCCTGACGCTCTAGCCCGAGCCCTGACGCTGCCCACCCGCCTCCCTGGAGTCCCAGCACCCGCACCCCTGCAGGGGGTGTTACCAGCCATGAGGGGGTGCGGGCTTGCATCAAGGATAGGACTGAGCCCTCAGCAGCCTCCCCGTGTCCCTCCTCGGATCCAGGACACCACAGGCCATGTGGAGGAGTCACTCGGTGCTGTGGGACAGGGTCGTCCCGCTCAGGCTAGTCACTCCGCTCTGACCTTCCACCTCGGGCCCCCGAGATGCCCAGATTGTCTTCAAGTGACCAGGCCTACAGGTGGTATCCCCAGACTGAAGCGGGGTCGGTGGGCCTGTCCCTTGTCATTACAGTGGAGAGGGAGCCACCCCCTTGCTGGGGCTGCCCTGCAGATGGTGAAACTGAAGCTCCGAGATCACACAGTGATCACAGAGCCAGGCCACCTGCTGCCCCAGGACCCCCCTCATCCATGATCTCCCGGTGCCCAGTTACATCCGCTTCAGTTCCTGCCAACTGTCCGTTGCCCCAGGGATGAGGCTGTGCCCAGGGCTCTCCCGTGGGCCCAGGCGGCCTGCCCAGCCCCTCAGGGCTGGAAAGACAGTGCTGCAGGCACGGCCCTTGCCGCTCTGTACCCGAGACCTGGGGAGACGGGCCGCCCACGAGCTCGAGCGGGACAGGATTCCTGTGTGTCCCCTGGAAGAGCCAAGCCACCTTGGCACAAGACTCCTCCCACCTCTGATGGCCTGGGTGGAAACAGGTGCAGAGCTCCGATGGGTCACATGGAGGCAGTGGGAGGTGAGACACGGGCCTGACACTTCACGGCTCTCTGGGTTCTTGCCACGGGGGTGGAGACTGGTGGCACACTGGCCTGCCACCCCCCAGACTGGCCGGAGGCTGCACAGGTTCTTCCCCGCCTTCAGCATCTGACCCCACCGCTCCCCGCGACCTGTCCTGCCTCTCAGATGAAACGGGAGGGATGCTCCACCCCTGCAGACGGTGCAGACTAGGGCTGGAGGGACAGCACAGCGGGAAGGGCATGGGTTCCAATCCACGCCGGTTGCCCAGGCCTCCCCAGCTCCATCTCCCGAGGCCCCATACGTGGCCCCCGGGCATCGTATCTCTCCCCTTCACACCTGCTGCTTCGGAGGCTGCCCCGAGCTCCACCCCCCGCAGGGGCCACACTGTTTGCAGCCACCTCGGCCTCTGCCACACCTGCTGAGTCTACCCCGGAAGCCCTGACTGAGGCCCCAGGCGGCCAAGGGACTGTCACTCATAGGCATGTGTGGACATTTGTGTGTGTGGGGGGGAGGGCAATCATGTGTTTGTGGGCTTTTGTGTGAGTCTGTGTGTGGGGGGGGGGTGTTTGTGTGTGTCTAAGTTTGTGAGTATGATTGTGCAAGAGTGGCAGTCTGTGTGTGGATTTGTGTGTGAGATTGTAAGTGTGTGAGTGTGTGTGCATTTGAGTGTTTGTATGACTGTATTTTAAAAAAATTTTTATTAGTGAAACACCATGAGGTTGTAGACTTACAAATTTTTGTGCTTGGGTTTCAGTTACACAATGATTGAGTATCCATCCCTCCACCAGTGCCCATTCCCACCTCCAATGCTCCCAGCATCCCTCCCATCCCCTCACCCCCCCATCCCACCCCACCCCTGTGGCAGGGCATTCCCTTTTGTTCTCTCTCTCCCTTTGGGTGCTGTGGTTTGCAAAAGAGGCATTGAGTGGCAATCATGTTCGGTCTATAGTGTATGACTGTATTTGTATGTGTGCAAGAGTATATGTATATTTGTGAGTGTATATGTAAGAGTGTGTAAGAATGAGTGTATGTGTGAGTGTAAGAGTGAGTGTGTGTGTGTGTATGTGTGTGTGCGTGCGCGCGCATGCAGAACTAGAGCTCCATGCTCCCTTGTGCTGGTCCCAGGGCTGTTCATTACTGTCTGGGTGCTCCATGAGGGAGCCCATGTAGGACCCTATGTCAGTGTGGAATTCATGGAGGGGAGCAGGCGCGTTCCCCGAAAGGGCATTGGGAAGGGGTCCTGTCAATCAGTAGGGCCTGGCTCTGCCTCTAACTCCCCCCTAACCCCCCTCCCTCCCCTACTCCCCCCGGACCCCCACCCTCGGGCAGTTGAGGATGCTGCCCACAAGGCCAATCTCTGTGCCATCACCACGCCTGGCTACTGTGCAGTAACGCGGGACAGCTGGGGCCTCAACCTCTGGGCTGGAGGCTGCTACACCCCAATCTGCCCCTAGACCCAGGCTCTGCCACTGGGCAAGTCACTGCAGGAGATGAGGTGCTGGGGGGCAATGCCCAGGGTTTCTCTGGTCTCCTTCTTTCTCCAGCCCCCCTGCCTGGCCTGCTGCCGCGGAGCAGGTGGGAGGGCAGAGCATGGCGCCAGCCAGTCCTGGGTCTCCTGCGGGGGGCCAAGGGGCAGTCTGATGGTGCCAAGTTCAGTGACTTTTTGCAAATCCCCCTCCCCTTTGCTGCTGCTGTGTTCCAGAGGAAGGTGCTAGAATGCTGGGCAGGGAGGCAGCTCCGAGACTCCGGGTGAGCAGGCCCAGAGGACGCAGGCTGAGTGGGGTCCTGGGCTGATCTGCTGAGGCACAGCTTGGGTTTTGGGGCTCCGGGAAGGAGCAGGCGCTGGTACATCAGGGAGGCTGGCTCCAGGCTCAAGCCTCCAAGAGTAGCCCCCTCTGCACAGCCTCTCTGAAGCACTCCCTGCTCCGGCAGTGGACAGCCGTGCCCCAGAGCAGTCAGGGCTCTGCCCGGATGTGACTCGGGGCCTCAGGGAAGCAGCTGTCCATTTGGATTCAAACTTCAAAATAGCCCTTTCCACGTTCAAAATAGTGCACAGGAACCAGCACCATCTGGTCGCCTGAGTGCGGCTGATTTTTGGCAGTTCTGGAAGCTATTTTTACTCCCCTCCCCAGGCTCCAGCGAGCAATTGTCAGAGGCAGAACAGGGGTCAGCTGGTCAGGACTTGTCCACAGACCACGCAAGGACCAGGGAGAGCGGCTTCGGAGGCTCCTTCCTGCCACCCCCTCCAAACAGGGCTCAGAGAAGCTCAGGGTCACCCAGCAGCAAACCTCGCCTTCATTTCTTTCTGGGGGTGGGGAGGGTTGGAAGCACACCCGGCAGTGCCCAGGGGTCCCTCCTGGCTCTGCACTCAGGAATTACTCATGGGGGACCTTTTGGGGTGCCGGGAATCAAAGCAAGGTCTGCCCCGTGCAAGGCAAGCGCCCTCCCCTCCCTGCTGTCGGGTCTTTCGGGCCCCAGCCCGCCTTCATTTCTGTGACACAATGTGCTGAAGCCTCGGCCACATTCCCTGTGCAGTCCCTGCCCGTGTCCTACTTATCCTCGCCCTGAAAACTTGAACCCCCACCGCCCAGCGCCCCCTGCAGGCAGCAGGCGTGTCCCTCCCATGCCTCGCCGTGCCCAGTCACTCCGGGCAGCATCTGAACCATCGGGCCCTTGGGGTAGCCGGCGGGCGGCCTCTGCTGGCAACTCTTGGACCCCTGAACAATCAATCTGATCTTCTGGGGGTCCTGCACCCAGGCTCTGCTCACTCAGGCACCGCACAGTCTGATCCTAGCAACAGCCTTCCTGCACCCGGCTTGAGCGTGGGGTGGGGGGCGGGGTTGTCCTGTGGGCACACCAAGGAGGGTTCCCATTTAGTGGCTCTGGATTCTGAGCCCTTCTGTCAGACCCACGTCCCCAAAACGCGTCACCTGCTCAGCTCCCCTCTGCTTGCTCAGCCAGCCCAGCTGGGGGGCTTGCCCTGCTGAGGGAGATGACAGTAGGACCCCTCCCCCCACCAACAGTACCCAGTGGCTGCTGATGCAGCCGGCCAGGGCCAAGGGGCAGCTGGCAACGGGAGGTCCACGAGGCTGGTAGGCGGAGATGGGAGTCGCCATGGCAACGGCAGATGCACGCACCCAGAACCGAGGGTGGGGGCAGCCTCCACAGCGGCTAGGGCCCAGGGACCACCTGAGGTCAGAGTGCAGGGCTCCAGGGGAGCCCGTGGGGCAGCGCATGGGACAAGCCAGGAAGGCCCGGCCCTTGCTCTCAGTCTCCATTAACTCCTGCTAAATCAGGCTGGGAGCTGCCAGCTACGACCCCAAGTGTCAGACAATGCCTGAGACTCCAGTCTCGGGCCGGTGCCCGAGTCACACAAAAGGTGATGCCAAGGGAGACCTCTGAGGACACCAACTTCGTGTGGCCTCTGTGACAGCAAACGGTAACGAGGCTGTGGCACAGGGGCCATCCCAGAAGCCAATGTCCCTCCTCCACCCAAAGATAAATATGCAGAAAGAGAAGAAGCTCCAGTTCCCTCTCTGGAAGATCCTTCCCCTCCAGCCAAGCCACCGGGCGCCTCCAGGGGGCGCTGCAGGCCCCCTCTCAGGCTGTGGGCGCGCTGTGTTCAAGAGAACAGTCCGAGGCTCCCCGAAGTGGCAGGCTAATTCACAACTCCCCAAACAGCCATCGCTGCGGCAGTGAGAGGCTGGGCTGGCTCTGCTCACTCACGAAAGCACCCACGGGGGAACCAGGCCAGACTCGGCTTCATTCACAGGCTCCTGCGCTCCCACGCGCCCGCTCTCTGCTCCCCCACTGCTCTAGGCATGGAAGCTCTGGGCGCAGAGAAACGCCTGTCCCCTGGGGCGCCCTGCCCAGCAGCTGGAGAGGTTGGCCGGTGGGCCGCACTGCTGCAATACCCCAAGGGCTGCTGAGTGACCCTGGTGGTCCCCAGCACCGCTATTGGAGCGCTGAACTGTGCAGGCTGGGAGTGGCCCCCAGATTCCCTGGACACTGCATGGAGCCCCTCTCTGCCCCTCCCCCCACCCCTAGTGCTGCAGCAGAAAAGTCCCTGAGATGCCCCGTCACACATGAGGGTGTCAGCAGTGCCTGCAAGGGGAGGGTGAGGCAAGGGTGGGCAGAGGGATTCAATCGAGGGAGGGAGGGAGTGGGTCATCTCCTAAGGAGGCAGTGGGCTGCAGCTGACCTCCAGGTATCAGGAAGACCTGGGCACCCCTCCTTTGCCCCTGCCTCAGTTTACCACTGCAAGCCTGCTGAGTAGGCAGAGACCACGGGAGCAGGTCACAGTGGGAAGTGAACTCCTTGGTGTCCTGGCCCCTGGTGACCTGTGCCCATGGAAGAAGACAGTGCCAGGCCCCTCGGCAGGTCAGTCAGAGATGAGGATGAGTGGGGGAGTGTTGGAGGGGAGGGAAGGAAACAGGGGTCAGCGGGGATCCTAACTATGGGGAGGAGGAGCTTCCATTACAGACCTGGGGTCAGCGGAGGGTGACTTCCCGTAAGGGGCTGTGTGACCCAAGGAGGAAAGCTTACCGGGGACTCGGAGATCCCAGCCCCCGGGAGGTTCAAGGTCTTCCTGCCAGGTGCTGCCCTCAGCGTGAGGCTCTAGGGTCTCGCCATGGCTACCTCTGGGTGCTGGGGCCACCCCAACCCTTCTGGGTCCCAGACCAGGATTTGCCCAGACACTTAACAGATCCTGTGGACAGACTCCCTAAACCTCAGTGTCCACCTTTGCCCCCTTTGTTTTGGGGCCACACCCAGTAGAGTTCAGGGTCTGTTCCTAGTTCTGTGCTCAGACGTGACCACAGGCAGTGCTCAGGGACCATATCCGGGCCCTGGGATGGAGCCGCATGGCCAGTGCCTTAGCCCTGTGCTGTCTATCAGGCCCTCCACTTTGGCACTGATAATACCAGCAGAGACTTCCAGAGGTGGGAAGTGGCCTTGGGTGTGGCAGGGCTCCAGTGGGGGAATGGGGATGTCGCTAGTGGCCTGACTTACAGATTCTGCTCCAATCCCCTTTCCTAGAGAGGGGGCAGAATTTAAGGCCTGGCGGCGGGTGGAGGGACTGCACATGGGCGGGAAGGTCTGACCTCCCTCCTGAGATGCCCCAGTTCCAGCCAGGTGAAGAGCAGCCATCGGGCAGGGTCCCCAGGAGCAGGAGGACTGTGGCCTACTAGCATAGCCAGTACTGACCAGCACCTCACGCCCCTGCAGGTGGCCAGGAAGCAGCCCTCCTGCCAGGCCCCACGAGCAGGTGTGCACAGCCAAGCACGTGGACCCTGGGGTGACACTCAGCACCCAAGCATTGCTCCTGTCTTTAGCAGGGAGCTGTGTGATGTTGCCTCTTTAACAGAGACAGGACTCTGGTGCTGGCCGAAGCTCGAAGCTCGTTATCGGGGAGAAGCCAAGCTGCTTCCGTGAGTGTCTTCAAGACTCAGGTGGGCGAGGGCAGTGGCTTCTGGCAAGGACAAGGACCTGCAGATGCCCGTGATGTCGGTACATGCTAATGTCACCAGAAGCACAGTTCTAAGACGAACATGGGGCCAACAGCGCCCGCCCTGCAATGTGTGCTCCCACACTCAAACCCCCCCTACCGATGTCACTGCATGTACTGTGTGCGCCAGCCTCACAGAATGGGGTGTGGCCACCATGGGCACCACGGCTCACCCCAAAGTCCCCGCATGAGCCCTGCAACTATGCCGGCTGTCTCACCCATGGGCACAGCCCTCAGTGAGCACTGTGTGAGGTGGGAACCCCAGGAAATGCCACAGCAGGGCATACACGCAGCCCGTCACCAAAACAGTATCAAGAGCGACGCTGGGAGGAGGGTGTGGGGCAGGAGGAATTCCAAAACCCACTCACATCAAGAGGCTGTTACTATGGGAACCTGGTTGCGAAGATGTGCACGAGAAACCATGATTAGCAGTACTGGGCACCACAGAATCTCAAAGCAATTTAAAAAATTAAAAATTAGGGGGTCGGAGCAATATTGCAATGGGTCATCAGGTATTTGCCTTGAACGTGGTCAACCCGGGTTCAATCTCCGGCACCCCATCTGGTCACCCAAGCCCACCAGGAGTGATCCCTGCGTATCAAGTCAGGAGTAAGCTCTGAGCGCTGCCAGGTAGGTCCCCCAAATTAAAAAGAATAACAACAACAATTTTTTAACTACAAAAAAGGGGAATTAAGACTGTATCTCCCCTTTGGTATTTTGAAAAAAAACTGAGGAAAAAGTGGAGCATTAAATGCATGTTCTACTGTGTTTTTACAGAAACCCAGATGGAGGGGACAGGAGGAAGAAAAAAAAAAAAACAAGGAAAGGTGACAGTTGGTGGTGGGATTGGTGTTGGAATATCGAATTCTTGTAACAAATCATCATGAACAACTTTGTAAACCACAGTGTTTAAACAAAGTTGGGAAAAATAATTTTTTAATAAAAAAAAAACACAAGAGGGGGCCAGAGCTATAATTTAGCAGGTAGGCCATTTGCCTGCACACAGTTAACCCAGGTTCAATCCCCGGCATCCCATATAGTCCTCCAAGCATAGCCAGAAGTAATTCCTGAGTGCAGAGCTCCGACTAACCCCTGAGCATCGCTGAGACCCCACTCCCCAAAAAAGCAAAACACAAACAAACAAACAACCCAAAAACAAATAAACAAACCAACAAAAACAAAAAAAATTTTAAAAAACCCAAAACACAAGAAACTTGAAAAACCCAGAGGCAGGCTGACAGCAGGGTTGCATTGTAGACAAAGGTCTACACAGCGAGTTCCCAGCAGTGGGGGAAAGGGCGCCCCCTCTGCGACCCTGGAAGTGGAGAGGGGGCCCTGTGGCGCCTCAGTCTGGTGAGGGGGTGGGGGGCAGTCTGGGATCTCTGCAGCAGCTCTGTGCCCAGTGCTCCCTCGATGCAGCCCCATGTCCCCACCCCTTCCCTCACTGGCTTTTTTCTCCCATCCTGGCCCAGGTGGCACCTTCCAGAATGAAGCCATCAGAGCACCCCCCCACCCGGGAGCACTCACCTGGGGAAAGTGAGTGAGTGAGGGAGGAAGGGAGGAGGAAGGGAGGGAGGGAGGAGGTAGAAAATGGAGATACAAGCCAGGTAATAAGTTCTTGCGGCCAGAGACAGGAGAGCAGGTTAGGCGCTTGCCTGGTACGCGGTGGCCCCAGTTCAATCCCTGGCCCTGAGCAATGCCTGGAGTGGCCGTCCCAAATAATAATGACGTTTAGGAAATTAAATACGTTCTCGATTCTCTGCCCCTCTCGGCTGCCACTAATAGGACTCTTGGGACCCCCTCCTCCTCTTTAGTCCTGCGGTTACTCAAGTTCCACAATGCAGACTCTGCCATAAAGCTCGCCTGGGTGAGGGAAACCCCGGGCGCCTTGGTGTGTGTGGGGGTCCCCATTCCGCTGCACCTGTGCCCGGGGCCCTGGCATGCGCAGTGCAGCCACACCCAGTGTGGGCAGAGGTGGTTGCTCCCTGGCCTGACCTTCCTACTCATGCCCAATGCTGGTTCCCTCCAAAACTGAGAGTGTTTTTTGGCCACACCCGGTGGTACTCAGGGGTTATTCCTGGCACTGCACAAGGGTTCACTCCTGGAAGTGCTTAGGGAACCACATGGGGTGCTAGAAATCGAACCCTGGTCTGCTGCATGTAGGGCAAGTGCCCTACCCGCTGTACTATCGCTCCAGCACCCTCTTACTGAAAAAAAGAATAAATTTTCCTGCCCCCCACCGCCCATGACCACCGGGTTCCAGTGGGAGCAGAGGTTGGGGATCGCCGGGTAATCGAGTTCATTAAGCAGGTGCCCTAGGTAGGCCTCACCTGCCTGAAGGTGGCCGGGAAAACTAGATTGCGGGAAGGCCGGCGGCAGGAAAGAGTATCAGAGACCAAGGGTTCCCGCCAGGCCCCTTCCTCTCAGACCCTCACTGCCCAGGCGCACAGCAGGAAGGCAGCAGTTCTCACCCAAACCCCCTGGCTGGAGAACAAGAGAAACCGGGAGCATGCGGAGCCTCTGGGCTACGGCCTGTGAGAGGCTCAGGGCTGGGACACAGGAGACGGGGCTGCAGCCACGGAACTCTGACCAGAAGTCATACACTAGAGCAAGGACACTGAAGGGACAGCACCAGGGAGTCATGCAGAGAGAGAGACAGAAAGACAAAGACACAGAGAGACAAAGAGAGACAGTATAAATAGAGACAGAAAGACAGAGACACGGAGAGAGAGGGACAGGCACACACATACAGAGAGAGAGAGGGGGAGGGAGGAAGGGAGAGACAGAGAGGAGGGAGGGAGGGAAGAAGGGAGGGTAAGAGAGAGAGGGAGAGAGAGAGCTGGATTCTAGGGAGCGACCTAGAACCAGCATAACTGTATAATAAATTATAGCTTCCTGGGCTCCTGGAGCCAGCCAGCAAATCTTTCATATGGTCCTCAAGGGTCCTCCACCTGCCCCCCCCCCCCATCCCCTCCTGCCCCCGACACAGAGACTAAAACCTACTTCTGGTAAAGAGGATCAAAGTACAACGGAAAGGGCCGACTCTGGGAAATGAAGCACTGGACAGCGGGACAGGGAGTGTGTGTGGGGGCTGGGGCTGGGGGTGCTGCTCTGGGCAGGGGGCCAGGGGGCCGGGGCGGGGCCGGGGGTGCTGCCCGGGCAGCGGTGCTCACATTGATCATAGCATTGGAGGTGATGCGGAAGAGCGTGGCCCGCTCGTTCACCACCTTCAGCTTCTCGCTGCTGTCCGGCGGGACCTTGAGGCCGTCGAGCTCGTTCAGCGAGCGCTGCAGTGCCGCCCCATGCTTGCCGATGAGCTCGCTGCAGGTGCTCAGGTCGTCGAGCTTCAGGGAGAGGTTCCGGAGGGTGTGCTGGAGCTCGCTCTTGTCCGCGGGCGAGGAGGCCTCCTCGTCGTCTCCAGAGTCATCTGCGGGGGGCAAACACAGTGGCTCTGGTGACTGAGAGGGGCGAGTCAGCCTTGCTGCAGGGGGGCTCGGGACTGCCTCTAGGAGCCTGCAGGGATGGGGAAGCTGTGTGTGGGGGGGAGGGGGGGAGGCAGGGCTGGGCTGTGGCTCTGGAGTGGGTGTGGCAGGACATCAGTGCCCCAAGCAGTGACCCCCAGGTTGCGTGGGAAGAGGGAGACTGCTGTGGGGGATCAGCTTCCATCCTGGACCCCAGAGGGCACCGTACAGGCCCAACCTCAGGCTGACCCCCACTTCCTCTCCTCGGCCCTCCGCAGCCCTGCCAAACAGCTGGGACCGAGCACCTGACCCTGTGTGCCCGCTGCCCGGTGCCTTCTCAAACCCCTCCCACCTCTTCAGAGGGCTGTGCCCGGTGCACCCCAGTGTACAAAGCTGGCCCGAGCACCCCAGGCCAGAGTCCCGGCTCCCTGCTTTTCTGCCCAGTGTATCCCATCTGTTTCCCGGGCAGCCTTGAGGCCTCTCCTACCTCCAAGGTCACCATGTGCGGACGTGGTCGTGGCTCTCCATGGCCCTGTCCCCAGGGAGGCTCAGAGAGGCGCAGACAGACCCTGTGGCAGGGGGCAGCGCCCCATGTGCCATGGTCCAGGTGCCCCCCCCCCCCCAAGCTCACACAAAGCTGCCCACGGGCCCTTGCTGTGCCCCACCCACAGCCAGGGCAGATTGGGCTCGGGGGTGGGGGGAGGGCGTGGGGCTGGAGGGATGTTTCAGGGTGTGATGAGGGGTGTGGGGGTAAGCTAGGCCACTGGTCTGAGCCCTGCTGCTTACGTTAGCACTGGACACAAGCCAGTCAAGTGGCCTACTGTTGGTGCTCAGCCAGGAGATTAGGACGAGGCTCTGGACGCTGTCCCGCAAGCGGGAAGCAGAACCGAGGCCCCACTTCTCACTAAGTGGGCAAGCTAAAAACTCGTGAACTGGATGGCCTGGAGGCGTCCGGCGTGCTCTCATCCACCCGCCTAGTCGTGCCCTATCCTGGCAGTACACGGCAGCAGTTTCCCCCTCTCTCACGCATCCTTAGCCTGGACTGACCTTCAAGTGTCAGTCTGAGCCTTCTCTCTGCCCCACGTGTGACCCACCACAAGAAGGTGGGGGACGTAATCTGTGGAGCCTCCGTGTCCGGTGCCATATCTTCCTCTGACGTTTTTAATCAGAACAGCACAGCTTTGACAGCATAGCTTTGGCAAGACAATGTATACCCTGACGTTCCTTTGACGAATGCTCATCCTATAACTGTCAGTCTCTCGCTAGTGAGTCTTTCTCTGTGATAAAGTCATTAGGATGTAACTGATAAAAAAACAAGAATAAAAGGAGGCCCCTGGCAGTCGCTCTTCGCCTTGAGCCAGAACGAGCCTTGGCCCTCCGTGCTCGCACATTCCTCTCGCGTGTTCTATCTCCGTGCCTCCGACCAAAAGAATATTCAAGCAACAGCCTACAAGGCCCAGATGTATGTACACCCAGGAATATCCGAAATGCCCTATGGGACAGGGGACAGAACCAGCTCCCTGCACTGTCCGGCCTCTAGAATTTTTTTTTTAAAGAGCTATTTGTAGAGAAGAGATTCCTTCCCATGGGGGCCAGAGCGGGTGGTGGTGGCAGGAACGGCATCCCTGTGCAGCCAGCAGTCTGGGGCCTGAGAGATGGGAGGCTGGGGGGAGTACCCACAGCACCGCATATTTTATGCCAGGGGACCTTGGGCTGGCAACTGAGGACTGAGCAGGAATCTCCCTTGTAGCCTGCCAAATGGAAGGTCCCACAGACCACGGGGCCAGGGACAGCACCTGGGGATCAGGTGACCAGCTGTCAGGGCAGAGCCAGGTCTCTACCCAGGTCAGCTCTGTGGGAGGTCTTTCCTCTCCTGGATCACCTTACAGAAGCTCTGGCCACTCGTGGAGATCGTGTCTTTTGGGGAGGCCCTGGAGGTAGGGCAACGCACCCAGCATCCCAGAGGAGAGGCAACACGGAATCATCTGGAGCCCAAAGGACATGGGACGGGACTCTGGGGGCATCAGGTGGGTCTTCAGAGTGGGACTCAGCGATCACGAAGTCTGTCACCTTTCCAGACTCAACATCTAACATCCAGAACGTCCATTTAACCTCTCAACCATCAATGTGACCACCCTGTGCTTAAGGCCCGCCCTTCTTTTGTTTTGGGAGGTCCTCCCAAGTGGTGCTCAGGAGCTCTGGGGGCCCCACAGGCAATTCTTGGCTGACCAGTCCCTCAGTTAGGGCAGGGGCCCGAGCACGCAGCCGCGAGGGTGCTGCAGGGCTGGGGAGACCCAGGGCTCCCCAGTGGTGTTGGGGGCCTCCGGGACCATACCTGGTGATGTTCAGGGGACCAGGGGGCGCTATCTCCCAGGCACAGTCCTATATTAAACTGTGACTGACTCCTACCTGAGTGTGAGGGTTATGAACAATCTGGCCCCAGTAAAGGTTTCTGAATGTGCAACAACCAAAAATTCATTCAGAATTAACCACATCACGAATCAAGGGCGCCTGGCACCCAGCCAGGGCTCTATTTCTTAGGTGAAAAGGGGTCTCGAGTGGGAACAGGAAAGAAGCCCCGATGAGAAGCAATGAGCTGAGGTTTGATGAATGCTGAGCACCCATCGGTGTAGCAGGCAGAAGGGGACCCTCCCCCGCCCCCGGCACGATGTCAGCACGTCATGCATCAGGAAGGAAGACACCTTCCAAGTAGCTCTCGGTTGGGCTGGAGCAACAGCACAGCGGATAGGGCGTTTGCCTTGCACACGGCCGACCCGGGTTCAATTCCCAGCATCCCATATGGTCCCCCAAGCACCACCAGGAGTAATTCCTGAGTGCAGAGCCAGGAGTAACACCTGAGTATTGCCGGGTGTGACCCAAAAAGCAAAAAACAAAAACAAAGTAGTTCTCGGGTCCAAGTTCAGGTTGAGCTGCCAGACCGTGGGACAGGCCTGCCCGGCCCCCCACGCGACACTTGGGCCAGTGCTCATGGAGCTGCTCCATGCTTTTTGGGGACAGGCAGAGGGGGTTCCCCCCAGCGGGACAGTGAGGACAGAGTATGTGGGAGGGGAAGTTGGGGCAAGTACGAGTGGGCGAGTGGCACATTACAAGTGGCGAGTCCATGGCATGCATGGAGGTGGCAGGCCTGGGGGAGGAGGGAGGGAGCAGGCAGGAGAGGTGGGCACAGAGGATCGAGTTGCAAAGGGAAAGAGGAAGGTGCTCCTGGCATGGCCTTCATCCCCAGGCAAGCAGGGGCAAGGAAACATGAGCAGAGGCTCATGGCCAAGAGCAGACTGGTGGCACTCGGGGTGAGGACCAGGCGGAAGGCCTGGCAGGGCTGGGTCAGGAGTCAGCAGGTTGGACCCTGGCTCGACCCAGGTGTGCTGGCGGCTGCTGAGTCCCAGCCCGCAATCCAGAACCAACGTGGCCGCCCCTTGTGGTCCCCACATCTCTGTCTTCAAGGGGCAGGTGGGGGTCCCTCGCAAGCTGACCCATGTCCCTGCCCCACCGTGGTCCTGCAGGACTGAGAAACAGGGTGAGTCCCCTCGGGCCGAGGGAGCAGAACAGAACAATGCAGGGTGCCCGGAATGCGGCCCACTGGCCCCACCAAGGTCAGGGGCTTTGCAGGAAGCAGACCCACATGGGAAAGGCAGGCGCGACTCAGAGATCCCATGCGGATGACTCACAGAAAGGAACACGCAGCAGCCCAGCGGGCACTCCAGAGGACACAGGAGGTGCGTGGAGAGCCGTGGACAGGCCCCGTCCTCTCTGACCCAGAGGCACTCCACAGGAAGGAAAATGCTGGCAGAGGCCAAGTCTCCCAAGCCCGTGGCCCAGTCAGGGAGGGACCCCCCACTCAGCCGACATGGGGTGCCTCCTTCGCCCAGGACTTGGGGCGATTCTCATCAAATCCTCATGGTCCTGCTCGTGGTACTCCACTGTCGGAGGCTGCTGGCTGTGGCCAAATGAGGGTTGAATCAGAATGTTTGCATGGGGGCCCGAGGACTGTTGGGCCTGCCAACTGCTGCCCCTTCCCAGGGTGCCAGCAGCTCTGGGCCAGAGGCTTCCGGAACATGAACACAGGGAGCCACGTGGGTGGGGGGGCAGGGTTGGAGAGTGGGCCTTGGGGGTCCTCCCGCCTCAGCCCCTGCTTTGCCAAGGGCTAGCATTTTCCTGCTTTGGCACCAAAACATCTGTGGGTTCCCGCATGCTGCTAACCCTGGTGTGCTGCGAATGTCCAGGTCAGAACTTCCCGGAACAGTGACTAAGCGGAACCCAGCGGGAGGATCTGCCAAAGCTTCAGCTCTGCAACCAGGATATGGAGCAGAGGACAGACGCCAACGTCTTCTCCCCCGCTCCCCCCACCCCCCGAGGCCGAGGCTAGGCTGGGCCAGAGAGGGCCAGGCCGTCTACAGAGAATGGCTCCTCGGTCATTCAGGCCTGACCATCCCCAGGCAGGCAGCTCCTGGGCCTTCTGGGCAAAAATGAGGAGAGCAGACCACAGCCCCTGATGGTGGGGCAGAGAAGGGACGATTGAGCTGCCCTGCAAGTCAGGCGGGGCTCAGGGCTAATGCCAGGCAACTTGACTTGGTCCAGAAAGATCTGGGCCTGTTCTTAGCTCTCCCCTTATCTAGAAAGCAGTGGTTCTGGAAATTTCCGTCAGTTCCTTCCAGCTACACACCGCACGGATTCTTCTAGTGGGAGAATAAACGCACAGAACTCAGGCTACCCCTGTGATGATAACTCTGTTCGCCCTGTCCCCTCCTGGCTCACCCATGACAAGCTCCCCAAGCATTTCCAATCCTCAGTGGTTGCACTGGTGGGTTAGTGTCCCCCCCAACACCCCCAAATTCAGCAACACCCTTGAACTTCATAAGGAACTTTTTTTTCTTCTTTTTGGGTCACACCCAGAGATGCACAGGGGTTCCTCCTGGGTTTGCACTCAGGAATTACTCCTGGCGGTGCT